AGCATCATGCAAAAGCAAAGCGTAGGCAAGCCATTCAACACATCCTGTTGCTTACAGGACGCAAGGTTTGCCACGCTTACTGGCCAGCAAGCAACAAGCCGGACACATCCCTTGCTTACAGGCAACACACCGTACCAATTACTTGGCTTGCAAGCAGCAAGCCTCTTGACACATGCTTTGCTTGTACACAGCAAGCCCGCCACAATTTACAAGCAGAAGCCACTTGCTTTTTGGCCAGTTAGCAGCAAACCCCAACACATTGTTGCTTACAGACAACATGCCTTACCACTCACATGGCTTGCAAGCAGCAAGCCTCTCAACACATTCCTTTCTTGCGCACAGCACAGCAAGATTGCAGCGCCTCCTCAGAGGCTTTGTGTGTGTGGACCACCCTAGGACATGGGTGTAAGGGGTCACTCCCACTTCGTTGAATACCGTTGCTCCTACATCCTAAACCCATGTCACACCATTGCAATCAAAATTTTCGCACCAGTACGTTTCAAATTTTCTCACCAGTACGTTTCAGAGCGGCGAGCTTTTGGTCGCATGCAGGGGGCACAGGTGCAATCAGCAACTCCTGTGCCAACGAAGACGGCTGCTGTTTGCAGTGTAAACGTACCTGCAGAGTTGCTCTTGGGTCACGGTCCTTAGGGACAAAGTGGCAGCTGGAGGACTCACATCAGTGCTTGCGTTGTGTGCAATCAGTGCTTGCGTTGTGTGCAATCGGCGCATGAGTGAAAGCATGTTGGAGAGTTGATCCTACAGTGGTGGTGTTGCGGCGTGAAGTTGATGTGTTGTAGGTAACCTGTTGGCATACATGTTCTAACATTCCACACAGCGTGGATGTAGCACAGTTTTGGCCATTCAGCACAGGATGGCCTCAGAGCAGAGATTTTCGTTAAAACATGGACCGTGGCAATTCTCGTAATGGATCAGTTCCATTCATGTCCACCTATCCAATAGGTCAATCGGTGATTGACATGACCAGTGTGTGTGTGTGTGCGCGGACTTTTGACAAGGCCGCCGTTTTACATTCTACATCGGTCAAATTCCAGATGCCAAATGGCTATTCCACCCGCTCTGTTTTACATTATTACGTTTTGTCCTCGAAAAAATCCATCCCATCCATTTTACAGTATATTTACACGAAATCAATGTAAAAATCAGGGAGGGCCAAGCAAAGTGAGTTCAGCGTCATGGTATGCTGGGATAGTGCGGAACTAGTGAGCATATTGCTGATCCATGCTTGAGCCGGTCCAGGTCACTAGAAAGCTATTTGGAAGGGAAGCGGCAGAAGCTTGGAGCCCAAATCTTCTCTCTGAGATGGCTGCAATTGAATGATCAACTGGGACGCTGTGGTGCGCATTTTCAGTATGAGGGAGAAAGACTGACCGGAGGTTCCCCCGCTTCTTTTTCACCTCAGACCCCGTTCTGCTCAAGATCTTGTCGCAAGGCACGGCTTGTACCAAGTGAAGCCTATGCATGCCACACGCACCTTCACCACTTCAGTTTTGCCCAAGCCCCACCGAGGAAGCGATCCGGAGACTATACAGGAGCTGAAGCATGTCACAATTCAGCCAGGGTGCCGACATCCAGTTATCCTAACCCAAGCCGTTGCAATGTCAAGCAGTCCTGGCTGTGCATGTTTCCGGTGATTTTGCTCCAGGACGACTTTGAGAAGCTCTTCGATGCCATCAGCCGCGTCACGCCAGCGTCTTGGGCCTCGCACGCCATTGGCCGTTACTAGGGCTATCAAGGTGCAAGCTTTTGGCCTCTCTGGATCAGTCCGAGCAGCATGCAATTTGCTGCATGGAGCCTGAAAGGTTTGACAGACATGATCGGCGAAAGATCAAAGAGATCAAGAGCCATCGGCCCATTTCAACCTGTAGACGCCGTGCTTGAATTGTTCAACTTGTGCTCACTGGCTTTGGCATCTTTGGCCAAGGCGTGGCTGGGAGCTCGGATGAGCGAGTCGCACTACAGGTGCCGGTGATGGCGCAGGGCAACATCGAGGAACTTGATGCCCCTGATCAAGACAGGAGCAATGCCTGGTATGACACAGGAGTGGCTCCAAAATCTTGAAGCAGAGATGCAGCGGAGTGTCCGCTCACCCCTCAGTCATTGCGACAGACGAGGCAGGAAGCTAGTCCTGACTTTAGGCTTTAGCCCTGGTTTTCGAGCAGCAGCAGAAGAGGTCAGGAGAGCAGCGTATGATTGACACTTTCAGAACAAGGGTAGGGAAGGGTAGCGCTGAATGATTCACAGGAAATTTTAAAGGGCGGAACGGAGAAAGACGCAGGAGGGGATGAGGAGCTGGGGAGGGGAAAGGATGCAGCGGGCGCCGCAGCAGCAGCAGCCGGACCAGCACCAGCAGCAGCAGCTGCTGCTGTCGGCAGATTGTCCTGAAATCTCTATACAAAGCGACTGCAAATCTCTCCGTCCACAAGCCTGTTGGCGCTTGCAAGAGGATGCAAAAGGAATCGTGCCTAACGGGAGAGGGAGGGAGGGAGCGAGAGGCGAGCCTGAAATGGTTAAACCAGAGCTCAGATCGGGTGGCATGGGTCAAGTCCAGGTTAAACGGTTAAACGTCAGGCTATGCGGTCTTGAAGCAAAAGAGACCAGGCTTACGGATCGACCAAGATCTGTTCTGAGACGGCAAAGACCAGCAACTCTCTGGCGCGACAGTTGCTCACAATCATCATCAACCATTTGTGCAAGAAGCCGGAAGGCATAATCTGCTAATGCTGTTCTACTGCTAGTGCTTGGGAACCAAGGCCGGGACTGCAGGCTTGCAGCCGCTGAGTGTGGAGCCAGCCTCAAATACCAAACGGATCCAAGCGGTCAAGAGGTGTCCAGAGGCTCATGCGTTTTGGTTTCTGACCGAGGCAGCGTGATTTCTTCCATTCCTGTTCAATCCTTTGCCGTGCAGGGCTCATTTCAGCACAACCTCAAGGTCACAAGGTCTTTACACCGAGCATGTAACCCATGTGCACAGGACAAATACATTGCGCAAGTCGCCCTGCTCCGAGCTCAGTCAGTGACTGGCGGCTGGAAAAGGATTTTTTGCGTCTAGTGAGAACTTGTGGATGAGTCGGTTCAGAGAGAGCCTGCGCGGCTTCCTGGTTTCACTGCGATGGCCCGACTACCTGCCCATTCACAAGGAAGAGGCTCAGCTGACCTATGGCCATGCAAACGGCAGGCTTCTTTGAAAATCCTACAGCCGCCAAGTATACACCCCAAGAAGCAGTAGACCTGACACCAACATGCCGATAAGGTGAACACACTAATAGAAACCCAGAGAGCTGGCTTCGAACTTAAGGCGCGTGCTTCTCTTTGTCCATTTTGTTTGGATGCATTGCCGGGTTCGCCTCACTATTGTTTTTGGGGTAGCCGCAGTGCTGGAGTGAGTTAGGCCAGTGGGAAAAGCTTCATGAGCTTCGAGTGAGTGGAGTGAGAACCTGCGCCGTGTGCGGAACCAAAAAAGCATTCAACTCCAATGTGTACGCCCATGCGCGCTTTTTGCTAACCAGCATCATGCAAGCCCGGCCCCAAACTGGAGAGCTCTAACAAGACCACAAACACAATCTGCGTATGCTGCAGGCCTGAGGCTTCTCAAGCATTGACGAATTCCTTGGGCTGGGACTAGGGGCGTGCAAGTTTTTTGAATTCAACGTTTGGTGTTGGAAAGGGGCAGGCAGCCACACGAGTGACAAGCTTCAACACCTTTTCGACTTGAAGGGTGCCCGACAGGTGAGGATTTTCTTCAGCTAACGACACCCTTGCAGCATGCTGGCGAGTAAAGCACATTCATGAATGCAAAGCTCAGCATCCGAGTTTTATATCCAAGTTGTTTGGGCTGGCAACCAAGGATTTGCAGCGTTTGGAACTGTCGCTTGGCGGTTGGAGGGGAGGGTGTTGGGTCGGGTGGTTGGGCAGCGATTTGGGGCGAATGAGTGAACCCCCGAAGTTCTCAGGCCTCAAGGGACTCCTGGGCCAAAAGATTGCTACTGCTGATGCGTAAGGCATAAGATTCCCTGAAGCAGCCGTCTTTGGGGCTACATCACCTCTCATTTTTCGCTTAGGTCTATGGGACAAACAGCGTGGGAGTGGAGCTCTCGCTTTGTTCCAGCAGGCATCATGCCTGTGCAGCACGGCAGTCCAGCATCGGAGGTAGCAGTGCCCATGCATTCGCAACTCATCCGCGCGAAAGTTGTGCAAGTCGGACTTTGTGGGCATGCTGGGCCGTTGCATCCTTGTCTCGCCGAAGGCTTCAGCCGCGTGCCAGAAGGCTGGCAGCCTGTTGGGAATGGTCATCTGGCAACAAAGACCAAGAATTTCAATCCGAGGATGAGTACTTGAAAGCGCTTGAGGACAACGCCGAGTTGCCAGAAGGCTTTCGCATAGCAACAAGCGATTTGACTTTCATCCCCATGGAAGCTGAAGAAATGGGAGAGCTTCCCATGCGAATGACTATCATCTACATGGACGAGCCCAGTGACATGGTCGCAGCAGTGTTCACGCAGAATGCTTTTCCTGGTGCTCCAGTGCGAATTGGTCGTCGTCGATTTGCTGAAGCTGTGCAGCTTCAAGCGGTTGTGGTCAACAACAAAATAAGCAACGTCTCGCCGCCTGATGCCGACGGAGGTGTAGCAGCAAGCGAGCGGCTATGCGAGGAGCTAGCCTCAAACTTAAACTTAGCTGGTGGGGCAAAAGCAGTGCTGCCAAGCTCAACGGGGGTGATAGGTTGGAGGCTGCCTGTCGAGGACATGGTAAGGGCCCTCCCAGAGCCAGGAGAGCTGAAGGGAGGCAGCGCCGTTCCTGCAGCTCGCGGGATCATGACTACGGATCGCTACCCAAAGCTATCCTCGAAAACATTTCCTAATGGCGCCAAACTGCTTGGCATCGCAAAGGGTGCAGGTATGATTGAGCCAAATATGGCCACAATGCTCAGTTTCTTAATGACTGATGTCAGCATTGAGAGGGCTGAGCTGCAGTCAATGCTTGAAGAGTGCGTAGCTTCCAGTTTCAATGCCATCTCTGTGGACGGAGACGAGTCAACAAGCGACTCTGTCGTTTTGATGTCGAGCGGACTGTCGTCAGGCGAGGTTAGTCGAGAGGAGTTCAAACTGGCCTTGCAAGAGGTATGCTGTGATCTGGCGGCGCAGGTAGTACGCAATGGAGAAGGTACTCGGCATGTGATTCGTGTGAGCGTTTGCGGCGCTGACACTGATGACGTTGCGAGAAAGGTTGGCAAAGCCGTAGTAAACGGCCCACTCTTCAAGTCAGCAGTGGCTGGAAACGATCCAAACGTAGGGCGATTGATTGGCAAGGTTGGGCAGGCATTGGGTGCTGCCGGTGCAAGGATGGCACAGGACTGCATATGCAAAATCGGTGGCGAGACGATCTTTGAGCACGGCCAATTCCGATTAGACACTGCAAAGGAAAGACGCCTAAGCTCTCATTTGAAACTTGCTGCAGCTGACTGAAGCTTGTACTTAACAGCAGTATCAAGCTTTTGCTAGCAGCTAGTCCGTTGCAGAAATGGATGACTAGATTGACTAGATGTTGGTGATCTTGACACAAAGCGGGTACAGGTGAGGTGCCTTATCCACAACACCGTCGAGTGGTCGACGTCGAGGTGATCTTGGGAGCTGGATGTGGCCAGGCAGTTGTTGCTTGGAGCAATTTGGTTTCCCGTTCCCTTAATCAAACTCTTTGAACTTTGAACTCTCACGGCATAGCATCGCCCTACTCCGCTGAGTCTTGCAGAGTCACTTTGTTCAATGGCAGCCTTCGTGCCGCCGTGCCTCTCATGGATCCTAGGTTCTTGGTTCTGACCTAACGACTGAGTACGTGAAGATCAACGCAGACTATCGTTCTTGAGTGGAACAGTGCTTGAATCGATCATGGGCCAGATCGGCACAGTAAGGTTGTACAGTGTACAGGGTGCAGTGATGCCTGGGGCTGTTATGAGCGTTGGCTCGGATGGATTGCTGGTAGATGCTGGCAGCGCTGCATCTGGCTGAGAGTTTGTTCCAAGGAAGCCGGCCTCAGCACATTCCTCGTGCTCGTCTCATTTACGGAAAAAAGCGCTCACGCGAGCACACGGGTCGAGCAAGAGCACCAAAGCTTGCAGATGTCGCTGCATGACGCTACAGCCTCACATGCTGAGGTTGGGAATCCAGCTCATATGGACAACGGACTTCCAGCAGGCATGCAACTTGACAAATGCCTTGCTGAGATTGTGACTGAACGGGCCACCATGATCCACCATGCCGCCGTGACAGTGCCATGACAGACGCATGAGACGGAGAGATGAAGCACCCATGATGTCTTTTCGATTGCAAACGCGCGGCCACAAACTTGTGAGCATACCTCAGGAGCAAAGGCAAATTCAACTGCAGCATGTAACAAGGAGTATGTAAATTTGTTCAAGTGCAGGCTGCAGGTTGAACAAATACACAATAAGACACAAGGCTACTGCAAAGAGAGGCGCTACGATCCGATCCCACCTTGTGGTCATGGACCTTCCAACAGTCTCCAGCAAGTCCGAAACGGTCAGAGTCTGGCATCCTTGTAATTCTGAAGATGACGAATCATTAAAATTCATTGAACTTTGGCGGGAGGCCTTGGCAACGCTGTCGCGGGAGAAGGCTTGGACGCTGCTCTTCGTGGCTGTGCCGTGAGAGAGCAAGCTTGGAGGACAAGACCGTCATGACGTCCACGAGGAACAAGCAACTGGGCAGCCAAGAATTCGGACGCGAGCAGGGGAGTACGTAAAAAACTGAGAGTAAAAGCGTCGGGCCACTGGCCACGTCGGCTCCATGGATTGAAGAGGACGGAAACGTGTGCCAATCCCCACGCCAGAATCCTACGCTGTACTCGTAGCATTTGAAAGGCTCGAAGCCAGAAAATTGCAGTGCGCATATCAGTCCTCGGGTCAAATACGTACCATGCTTGCGTACGTAGCAGTAGCATGGTAGCACGGCTACCTCGGCCACCCGATTCAAGTGAAGGGCGCGAGTAGTCCGCACAACCAAAGTGCTGTGGTTTAGTTTCATATGCACTCTTTGTGCAGGCAGCCTTGGCAACCGTAGACTTGTCTAGAATCCATCCCTGCTCCACTCTTGTTCAAGCAAGAAGCCGCGCAGAACACAACGTCCAGAAGTCAAAAGCGATTATAATATGAGCGGTACCACGAGCTGCCATTCCTAAAGCAGTTCAGAGTGAGTGGCCCCCGCAAAATTTCCCATGTCCGGCTTCAGATAAGCACTGTTCAAATCTATACCCGGGGATTCTTGGAACTTGTGGGTAATCAGAATGGTCTTCTAACCAAGGATTTAATAGCCTTGCCCTCTATCCCCTGGAATGGCGTCAGATAGGTTCCAGCTCCAGCTGTCACTTTGCGGTACCACGTCCCAAGCAGCCCTGAGGTATTGCGAACTCGGAGTAGGATTCATGGCTGAGGGTTGGGCGTTTGCTTTTCAGTGCAAAGCCGTT